CATGAAGAGAAGAAATATATCTGAAGATATTTAAGAGAAACTAGGGCTGAAATGGAAATTGAAAAGATGAAAGCTAATTGCAACTCAAATGATTTTGAGAAATTAACGATGGTTAAAAAGATTAGTAAATTAAATCAAGTATTTGAACAATACATAGACCCTATTGTCAAAAAAGATGGTGGAAATGTAGAAGTGTATGAAGTTAAGGATGGAGTAAATGGTGAAATTATCGTATATATTCAATATAGTGGTAAATGTGTTGGTTGTGCTGCTGCAAATGGAGCAACTAAAGAGAAGATTCAAACTATTTTAAGAGATACTCTTTCAAAGAAAATTATTGTAATTCCAGTTGATTTACCACATACCCATGATGATGATTTGATCGAACAATTAGAAAATGAAACAACCTTAAATATCAAAAAGAGAAAGATTAATCTTTAATTTAAATCCATTTTTTGAAATTTCTTTTAATATTTTGTCTTCATTTAATATCTGGTTTTGGAGATGAAGGAATTGAAACTGATTGAACAAGATTTTCTGATATATTACTTTCAGATGATAAATGTTGTTTTGAATAAACTGGAGTTGATACAGTCATATCGATTGAACTGTTTACTCTAGAATGAGCTGCTGCTTCTGCCATACTTTGTTTTGCTTCTTGAGCTAATCTCCATTTTTCTACACAACTCATTTGAGCTACACTTTTACCTCTTTCTGACCATTTTCTTGTTTGGGTTGTTCTTAATGATTGATATTTAATATCTAACATGTTTTTAGCAACTTCAGCTTTTTGTTTAGATGCTTCAATTGCTTTATCTTCAAAGACTTTCTTTCTTTCTACTGCTTTTTCGTAAGCTATTTCAAATATTTTAAACCAATCGTCTTTATCTGCTTTACTCCTTAATCCAATAAAAATATGACTCTTACCTGAAGTAATTTTTAAAGTAGTTTCTGCTGTAACTTCTTTTGTTTTGGGCATTTCTTCTTCTTTAACTTCTTCAATCTTCATATCAATTACATTAAAATGAGTTTTGTATGTAAATTTCTTACTTAATGTTTTAGATAACATAGCTTCTTTATATTGTGCAAATATGCATACATCAGAAAATAATAAACAATGACAAGGAACAAATTTCTTTTTAAATAATGCTAATACAATACCATCTTTTTGATAAATTCTACCTGGTTGTTGTAAATTAACGTCAGATGGTAAATCAGTTATTCTTTCACTCAATTCATTAACTTTATCAATGTATTCATGTTGTCTAGAAAATTCATTAACACTTATTGCTACTTGAGAAACAATATTAAATCCATTTGATAAGTCTTTAAAATCTGGATGATTTTGTGGTGTGTGTTTAAGAAGATCATTTAATAATAATTTATATCTTGGAATTCTTTGAATTGGTGTAATTAAGAATGATGTTAATTCAAAATTTTTATATTCATCAGGTGCATTATTTCTTATTTGTGAATAATAAAATTTGAAAAATTCATGACCACTTCCAAGTTCTTTTAATACTTTTAAAGCTTCTGGATAATTTTTACAATACTCTCCATAAATTTTTAAGAATGGGGCTAATTTAATAAAGAGTCCACCAATTTTGGATTCACTATTCCATTGAGAAATAACTTTTTGAAATGATTGAAGAAATTGTTCATTAACAGAAAGAATCATTTGAATATCACTAAATATTTTTTTATATTGGTCCATTGTAATTAATTGTTTTGTCATGACTGGTTCAGCAAATAATTTAACTATTAAATTTAGTTGTTGAACGTAACTTTCTTCCGTAGATAATAATTCTTGTGCAACATTAGTCCTATATGCATACAATTTATTCATTTTTCTAAATTCAAATTGTCTTGCTGCACGAGTAATAACTGTTGCAGCAAATTCTTTTTGTGCAATAGTCCCAGCTGTATGAATTTTTTCTAATACCTCTCCTTTAATTTTAAATCCTTCAAACCACCCTAATTTCTTTTCATCAAAGTTTACTAATTTAATACCATCTAAATCTTTTACTGCATATGCAGCTGTCTTTGGAACACCTGTTTTAATCATAAATGCAGAAGTTTGTTCTACAGTCCAATATCTATAATCCATAGAATATGCAAATTTTGGTGGTTTAAATAGATTCATTTTAATAACATTACCTGTCATTTTTAGTACTTCTGTTTGTCTTCTTTGTGCAGTGGATACTTCTTTTATTTTTGCTGCAATAATATTTCTTTGTTTAACTGTTAATTTTCCAACAATACATTTCCAGTCAATAAATTTTAAGTCTTCTACACATGTTGCTGCTACATCATCACTAGTAACTTCCATTAATACTTGGTCACACTCTTTTTGGTCTGGGAATAAGTCCATCATAAATTTAGTTAAGTCTAACAAAATGAGTAAAGGGTTAATAATTACTTTAGTCCCATAAAGATATTCAAACTATTTTCTGATTTGTTGTTTTCTGTTGTCATTACCTTCAACTACCTTTTTTTTTATGAATTTTTTTAAATCTTCAAAAAAACTTTTCTAGTTAAATTGTGTCAAGTGAATTTTTCTTATAGTAACTATATTATCCGTAATATTTCAGGATTTTTTCCTAATTCATCTTTTAATAATTACTATTCATTGCAGTTCTATAGTAGTTATAAAACTCATTATTTATAAGAATTATTAATTATAACCTTAAAAACAAAATAAAATAGTTTTCATGTTATTATTTTTGTTCTTATTAATATTAAATCGTTTTTCGTATTTTTTGATTCTTCCTCCATTCTATGTCTTTTTAACTCTTCTGCTATTATTATCTCTTCCCACTTCCTTTTTTATCACTTTTCTATTTTCTTCTATCACTAACTCTTCTTCTTTTATCATCTCTTTTCACCTTCTGTGTTCCTTTCAGTTTTTAGTCAATTCGTTTTTTTCTTTGAATTTAACTTCTCTCATATCTCATTTTAACTTCCATCTCTATAAATTATATCCGAATATCTTTTATAATTTCTTTGTGCAACCTTTTTGGTTCTATAGAAATTGTTCTTTTGTGAATCTTTGTTATCATTTTATTAATGTTTTTTGAACTTCCAAAATCTGTTAATTTACAATTAATTCCAATATTATCATCAAGTGTTATAACAAGAAAATTATCTGGTTTAATATCTCGATGTAGTATTCCATTTGAATGAAGATATTCTATTCATTTTGCTCCATCTATCATGAATTTGATTCTTATTTTATTTGGTACTTCTGTGTTTTTTATTTTATTAATTAAATCTTGTATTGATCCATATTTTGCATATTCTGTTACAATACATATTTTATTAGGAATAAATACTACTCCATAAAAATGAATAATAATTCACTTCGAAATTTATCTAACATCATTACTTCTTTCTCAAATTCTTTCATTTTATTTTCACTTTCTTTAATTTGTCTCATTTTCTTAATTGCTATAGATTTCCTCTAAATTCTCATATATTATATATACTGTTCTAATTTGATTTCATTTCTTTTAGTAATAAAAAACTCTCATTTGAAAATAAGAAATTAGAGAAAGTAAGTAAAGAAAAGAAGTTTGTAAGAGATATAACAAGAATGGCAAGATTTAATAAAAAAGAAATCAAAGAGATTAATGTATTGATAAACAAAAAATAAAAGAGAGAAAAGAAGAGTTGAATAAGAAATGATTCAAGTTTATGAAGATAATGAAAAATAAGAAAGATATTGAAAAGGAATTTATGAGAAAAGAAAAGATGAAATAAAGAATAAGAAGGAGTTCAGTTAATAGAATCAAGAAGTAAAGATTGAATTAGTTAAAAGGATAAAAGAAAAGGAGGGATTAGAACCAAAACAAATAAGAAGATAAAGATCATAAGAAGAGTAAAACCGAATTTTTTACCAATAGCAACATTTGTGTTATTAAATGATAATAAGAGATGAATGATGATGAGAAAGAATAAACTTCCAATAGAAAATTCTAATACATTTGGAGAAAAAGTAGAAGATATTGATAGAACAGGTTTAATTAAGTAAATAAATACTAACCAAGGGAATGAGGAAGAAATTAATAACATGAATATTGATTGAGAATAACCTTGAATAATAGCTAAATTACCACAATTCATTCTTCCAGCATTCCAAGCATTAATAAAATGTCTCATACCATTTCCAAGGATAGAAACAATACTAACAGCAAGAACATCAGAAGGTAAATTAAAAATTTTTTGAAGTCTGATAGATAATAAAATTTCAATAAAACCAAAAATTGATAAATAAGATAAAGATAATATAATACTAATTAAAGAACTTCCTTTAAATAATTTAAAAGGAATAGTTATCTTAAATAATTTAATAATTGGATAAAAAATATTAGATACAAAATCATTAAATAAACTTTCAGTAATTTGATTTTCACATAAAAGATCTTTACAAGTAATATCAATATTAAAAGAATTTGAAACAATTATTTTATTTAAAGATTCTACCCATTCTATTCTTCTTGAACTTCTAAAACCAAATTGTTTATGATCAATAGTATAAATATCAAATAATTTATTATCTAAATTATCAGAAATAATATAAATAATATCATTAATATTAATTGATATAAGTGGAGGAGAATGAGGAGATCTATCTTTTCTTATAATTAATTCATCAAAATATAAATCAGTCCAATGTTCAGACCATTGAGATGATGAATAAGAAACATTACTATAATCAGGTGATTTAAATAATTGTAATTCAGAATGTAATTTATTTGGAATACCATTATTTTCAATAATATTTAAAGGAGTTGTATTATTAAGAAATCCATTTGAAATAATAATTTCTTTTGATAATTTATTAGTTAAATAAATTGCAAGAATATAAAATAAATAAACACCAATTGATAACCAAAGAAGAATTTTACCAAATTTTAAATCATCTTGTGAATTAAGAGATTTTGCAAAGATATAATAAAATAAAATACTAATTAATAAAATTAATGCTTCACGAATAAAATTAATTTTTGCAATTTCAATAAAATCATGAGATAAAATTATTGATAATCCAGTCATTATTACTACACTTTCAAAAGAACTTCCTATAATAAGTGAAGTTGATGTAGTATAATATTTCATAAATATAAGTCCAAGAATTCCAATACATAATTCAGGTAAACAACTTCCAATTTGAATAATAAGAGGAGTAAAATAATTTGTTTTAAAGACATAATTACATAAAATAGAATATTTATTAAAAATTGGAATAATATATCTATCTACTAAATAATGTGTTCCTAAAATAATTATAATTAATGTTTTTCTTTCTTAAATATTAAATAAACAAACCATATCCACATTGAAAAATAATGTAAAAATATATAATAAATCCACCATATTTTTCAAATAATGAAATAGGAACTTCATTAAAAAGATCAAGCCATGTTTGTGAAATTTGTTGTGAAATCATTTAATCATTTTATTAGTTTTATTATTCTTTTTTATTCTTCTATTATTTCAATAAAAATTAACTCTTTATTATAATATAATGAAAAAACATCAATTCACCTCTTTAGATGATATTCCTGATTTTGATTTTGATAAAATAATAAATCAAAATGAAGAATATAATGATACTAAACAACCAAAATATACTCCAAAAATTATTGAAAAAGTACAAAAAAGAAAAGAATTTTTAGAAAGAACAAGAAATAAAAGAAATGAAAGAATTTTAAATGAAGAAGAAAAGAAAGGAATTTATTCAGGAAAATCAATTCGTTTTGAAAGTAAAAGTTATAAAGATTTTAAAGATTTAGAAAAAATACCAATACAACAACAATTACAATTACCTGATATGAATGAATTTTATAGAAATATTCTTATAAAACAAAATACAATAATAAAAGATAAATTATTACCAGAATTTCAAATAAATAAAATACAAGAAAAAAAAATTAAAACAAAAGAAGAATATGAAAGAAAAAAAGAAATTTTTAAGAAACAATATCAAATTGCTATTAATGAAAGAGAAAAACAAGAAATAAAAGATATAAATCAATTAAAAGAATTATCAAAATCTAAAGTTAGTAAAAAAGATATTGAAAATGCAAAACAAAGATATTTAATTAGAAAACAAATTAAAGAAAAAGAAAAATAAATTAAATAATAAATTAAAATTTAATTTTTAATTAAAGGTTTTATAAAATGTTTTAAATTAGTTTTAAGTGTTGGACTTAAAAATTGATCAATTTGATCAATAATATGTGATTTTTTAATTGGAATAAATGGATAAATTTTAGTATAAAATTCATTTAATAATTGAATAATAAAATTATATTGTTCCATACTTTGAACCATTCCTTTTCTTTCATTTCTTATTGATAAAACCATTTCTGCAACAAGTTTTTTTATTTCATATTCATTTAATGATTCTTTTATATTATTAATTTTTTTTTCTAATTCAATATCAATTAATTTATTATTATTATATTTATTTAAATATAATTCTCCTCCTCCTTTTAATATTGAATAAAAATGATGTTCATAAATTCTAAGTAATATTATAAATGTACCACTTCTTCCTAATCCTGCAGAACAATGAATAATTGGTGGTCCATTTAATTTAATTCCTTTTATTTTTCCTCTACAAACTAAACTAATTAAAAGCATATCAGTAATTTGTTTAATATTACTAGGTACTCCAAAATCAGGCCATCCTGTATAATGAATATGAATAATACTTCTTTTACTTTTTTCTATTTGATTTTCAATAATTATTTCTCTAATTTGTGTTTCCATTCTTTTAATTGTTTGTAAATCATTATAAAGAATAGATCCTACTTTAATATTAAATTTTCCATATTTTTGTTCTATTCCATTTTCTGAAAAATATCTTGTAGCTTTAATTCTATTTTTTTCTTCATATTTTGTTAACATAATAATAATTGGTGTTTCTTGTTCCCAAATCATATCATAAAAATCTTCTATAGTTGTTGTTAATGGTGCTTGACATGAAATATATCTTCCTCCAAAAATATAATTAGCATTAATATAATTTCCTGATTTTAATGGAACAATACTTTTATTATTTGCTAATACATTTTTATATCTATTTTTTGTTAAATTACATCCTTCACAAGATAAACTAAATTCTTCATCATTAACAATTTTAGTATGTTGATTAACCCAATCAAATGAATATTCTTCTACATAATTACATGACTTTTCAATAGACATATTTATTTCTTTTTTTTTTTTACTTAATATCATTTTTAAGTTCTTTTTCATATTATATAAAAAACCATATTTTTTTTTTATTGTTTTACATATTGTTTATTCATAAAACCATAATATTTTATAAAAATTTTTTCTTTAATTTATTGTTTTTCTTAATACATTTTTTTTTTGTTTTACTTATAAAGTAAATAAATTTGATGCATTAGTATAATATGTGCTCATTTTACAATCTGTTTTACTACTTTTTTGAATTTCTTTAATTATCTTCATTCTTTTAAAAATTCTAAATTATGTTAATAATTATAATTTACATTATTTTTAAAATATTAAAAAACAAACAAATTTTGATCCATTGAATATTCTATTGCTAAAACTGTTTCTTTAATAAAAGAAATTATTACTTCTGATTCTACAACCATATTATCAATAAGAGGTCCTGTTAAATTTTTAAGAATAGAATCAATAATATGAACAACAATTAAATTTCCTTTAGGAATTAATTGAATAATAATTTCTGCATTAATACATTTTGGTTTATATTGATTAATATCTTTTCCCCAAATAATAATTAATTTACTTTCTGTAGTTTCTTTTTCAATTTGAAGTGTTTTAAAAATTCCAAGAGAAGATTTATTATTTTTATCTACTAAAGTATTATATAAAGCTTTATAAGATGGATCTTCTTCATTTCCAAAAATTCTTAAAGGAATTAATTGATTCATTCCATTAAAATCTATTTCTTTAATCATTTCATTAATTTTTGATGTTATATTAATAGAATTAATAATAATTTCATTATTTTTTGGATATTGTAAAAATGAATTAAGAATATATCCATACCATTTTTTTATTTCAGACTTTTCTTTATTTTCTGTAAGAATTATTGTTTGTGTATTTTTTTGAATTTCATTCATATATTTTTGTACATTATTAAAATTTTTTTCATTTAAATTAATTTGTTGTTCATGATTATTAATTGGTTCTTTCCATTCTAATTCTTCTAATTGTTTTTTATTTAATTTTTTTGATAAAATACTCTCTTTTATACTAGTTTTTTCTTTAAATTCATTATATTCTTCAATCTCTATTTTAGGTTGTTTTATTTTTATTTCTTCTTTTTGTATTTCTTTTATTTCCCATGGTTTTACTAAAAATCTCCATGATCCTGTTGGATCTCTAATTCCAATTTCAGTTATTTCTCCACCTTGTTGTGGTGTAATACTAATAATTGATGTTCTATTTCCCCACCATGTAGTTTCTTTACTTAAACTATTAATATTTTCACTTAATCTTTCATGACCCATTGATTTAAATAATAAAGATGCAATAATTTCTATTAATTCATTTAATTCTCCCATATCTATATTAATTATTTTATTAATTAATTCTATTAATTCTATGTTTAATTTTAATGAAAACATTATATTTGATTGAATAATTTCAATAATAGCAAATAAAATTATCTTTTTTTGTTCATTTTCTTTTTTTTCTTCAAGTATTATTTTAATTAAAAATGAACAAATATATTCTAAATACCATGGTGTAATTCCACCAAGTTGTCTTGTAATAAATATAATAACTTTTAATGATTCATTATTAAGAATTTTTTGTTCTTTAATAAATTGAAGTATAATATCTAATAATATTTTATAATTTTTTTCATTTTTATGTTTTCTTTCATTTAATACAATAGTTACTCCAATACTCCATAATACTATATTTTTTATTTGAGTTGTTATAAAATTATTTAAAAATGTTTGATAACATAAACTAATATATTTAATATATTCAAAATTTTTATTTTTATAATAATGTTGTTCTTCATAAATTGAAATAGATAAAAGTAATTTTAATGTTTGAAATTCAATTTCTTCTGAATAATTATTATTTTGATATTTTATCATATTTTCTAATAATGGTTGAATTAATTCTTCAAGTGGAAGATCATATAAAAATATTTTATTAATTGTAGGAAATATTGAAATACATATTTGATTATTAAATTTTAATATTGATTGAATAATTATTGAATAAACTTCATAAATACTTTTTTCATATCTTATTGGTCTAATAATTATTTCATTTAATCCATTTATTGCTGTTTTTATTGTATTTTCATATTTTTGTTCATTAAGAATTGAAATAAAAATTGGTGCAAATTCTTCATGAATATTAATTGGTCCTTTTTTTTCTGTTATTTCTTCTGCATAAATTAAATATTCCATTACTTTTTTAATTGTTATTGTCCATTCTGTTAATGCTTCATTTTGACAAATTGCAATTCCATTACATGCTATTTGAATTAATTCTTTCCAAAAAAATAATAAATCATTTTGATTCATATTTTCTAATTGAAATATTATTAATTTATTATCATTTATTTCATTTTTATCTTTATTTATTTTTTTTTCATTAATTTCTTTAAAATTAATTTTATAATATAAATTTATAATCATTTGAGTTACTGCTAAAAAGATTTTTCTTATTTCTTTATAAAATATTTTAATTGGATAAAGTGCAATCATTTTTTGAAGAAATATATCCCATTCTTTTTTATCTCTCATAAATAAAATCCATAATGATAATGAACTAATTGCAAAATCTGCTGCTTTTGTTAATTGTAATTCAAAACTTCCAAATGTACTTCTTCTTATTTTTTGTGTTGATTCAACAAATTCTGTTCTCCACATAACACTTCTTGAAATAAAACAAATTAATTTTTTTAATTCATAATTAATTGTACTTGATCTTTCTATAAATAAATTATATATTCTTTTAATTTCTGTAATAATTGACATTACATTATTTTGATTTCCATCTTTTAAATTAATTAACATTATTTCTATTCCTTTAATTAATTTTTTTTGAAATTCTTTTAATTTATTTGGTTCAATTGAAATAATATTTTCATTATTTGGATCTCCTTTTTTTCCAACATAAATTGCTAAATCTGGTGAATATGGTCCTATAATATAATGTTCTATAAGTTTTTTATATGCTGTAATATTAATTACAAATTTTTCTGTTGTTTGATCTCCTGAAAGTACTTTATAACAAATTTCTTCTATTACTTTTTCTAAATATTCAATCATATTTTTATATCTAGTAAGATATACAATATTTGAAAATTTAAATTCATTAAGAACTTTTAAAATTTCTTCATGTGCAATATCATCAACATGTGTATTTTCTGTTTTTTGAACATATAAAATTTCAATAATTTTTCTAAATAATGGAAATACTGATATAAGTGTTTCATCATTTCTTATTATTTTTGTTAAAAATAATTCTAAAAATCTTGTAGATAATTCATATCTACTATTTCCATTATTATCTTTAATTATACTTTCTTCTTTATTTTTTATTGATTCTAAATCAAGACAATTAAAAAAATAATTACTCCATTCTTCTGCTTTTAATGCCATTGATATAATTCCTTTAACTAATCCTTCAAATGCAATAATTCTTATTTTTGTTTCTGTTGTTATACAAAGATATGTTTTCCATACATCAAAATATTTTTGTTCTGTAATTTGTTTAAATGCCATTTTACCAAATATTTCTACTGTTACTGAAAAACTTCTTAATAAAACTTCTTGTTCAATATCTTTTGGTTTTTTTGATTTTGAAATTTTTTCTGATGCTTCACTAAGTATTTTATAATACATAGGACTATTTTGTTTTACAAAATTTAATTCACTTTCATTAAATTCTCCTTCTTTTGAAATAAATTGTAAAAACATTTTTAATCTATTAGAATAACTTTCTTTACTATCAAACATTTTACTATTAATTAAATGTTGAGAACTATTCATACTCCTTTTATTCTATTTCTTTTTCTTTTTAAAGTTCATTCTTTTTGAAGTTCTTTATTAACTTATTAATAATAAACATTTTTTCTTCTTTATTTATTATAAACTTAAAAAAACATAAAAATCTCTCTTCTTATCAATGGAAAAGAAAAATGATATTAAATTTATAATGGGAGAAGTTAAAAAAGAAGGTGAAAATATAATGTCAAATGAAATTATCCCAAGATATTATAATTGTTGTATGTGCTGTCATTCACAATTAGATAATCCAAGAAATTATTGTGTTTTTTGTTTAAGTAAAAGAGTTGCAGAAAGAGGACAAAAAATAAATAAACAAAAAGAAGAAATAATAAAAATAAGAAACCATAATCATGAAATAGAAAAATTATTAAATGAAAAACTTTGTTCAATGAATAAAGAAACAAATATTATTGCTAATACAAATGTATTATTTAATCAAATTCAACAAAATGAAATGGCAATTTCAGTTATTGAAGTTAAAGAAAAAGATGGAATTAGAAAAGCTATTGAACATATAAAAAAAATTAATAAATGTCTTATTGGAATGAAAAAAGCTATTGAACATACAATTTCATTAGAGTTTGTAAATATATTTAAAATTAATAAAAATATTATAATATATACATATATATATTAATCAATATTTAGGAAAGAATATAATAAGATAAAACAAGAAACAAATGGACTTATTCAACTTCAAACATTTTTAAAAGAACAAATTATTATTAAAAAAAAACAACAAATAAAACGAATTAATGAAATAATGATGATTGAAATAATAAAAGAAGAAAAAAATATAAAAAAAGAAGAAGAAAAAATAGAAAGACCAATTGAAGGAGAAAAAAAATTATATAAAATAGTTAATTTTAATATTAAATCTAAATCTAAAATATTTACAACAATTAAAACAGGAAATTTATTTATTAATTATTTATATTTATTATTAAAAGAATATTCATATATTATGGAAATTCCTTGTACACTTATAATAATTAGTAAAGGAAATGAAATACCAATTAGTATTATTAGAAAATCTAATTTAAATAAAAATGGATTAAATGATAAAATAACAATACCATCAGTAAATTTAACATTTTCACATCAAATATTTAAAATATTTTATGATGAATTTAAACAACTTTATTGTATTCAATATAAAACACCAATTGAAGTAGAAGGAGAAAATTATGTTGAAAAGATTATTAAATTATTACAATATTTTAAATCATTTTAAAAAGATAAATAAATAATTCAAAGATTTAAAAGAGAAATAAATATATATTATATATATATATATTTTTTTTTAATACAAAAATAAATTAAATAAACTTGAAAAAAATTAAAATAATGAATAATGATAAAATAAAACTTCAAGCAAAATTTGAGAGTCATGCACAAGAAATAATTACTGAAGAAATATTTTATCAACATAAAAATCAATTATTTATTATTGGTGAAAATGGAAAACCTGTATTTTCAAGATATGGTGATGAAACAAGAATGTCAACATTATTAGGAGCATTTTCAGCATTAATTTCATTAACAATAGAAGAAGGTAAAGAAATTGAAATTGAAGGTGATACTAAACGAATATTTATTGATATTCGTGGACCATTTATTTTTATTAGTATGAATAATAAAGATAAAAATATTTCACAAATTAGAAGATATCATGAATTTATTGAACAACTTATTTATCTTTATATTCCATTAGATATTTTTGAAAAAAATTTAGAAAAAAATCAAGCTTTTGATTGTAGACAATTAATTTATACAAAAGCAAAAGAAATTAAAATGGGAATATATCAATTTAATACATGGATAGGTGGGATGATTGGTAAAATTGAAATTGAATATTGTTGTATTAGAGAAATTATTGGAAATAATATTAGTAATATTGTTACTGAAGGAAATATTGGAATTAAAAATAATATTATTATGGTTTTATTATATAATGGAAAAAAAATAATTAGTTGTAATGGAAAAAAAGGATTTTCATTAACACCAAATGATATGAATGGAATTATTAGTTATGGTAATGAAAATGATGGTGATGGTGAAGTTGGAATGCCAGAATTAAGTAAATCTGGAAAATTAAAAATTTGGACTATTAATATTGGAATATTAAAAATGTCTGTAATTTATCAAACTGATGATTATTTTCTTGAAGTTAAAATTATTACAGAAAATATTAATCAAGAAATAGATCATTATTATAAAACATTAATTGCATCATTCAATAATCCTCCTGTTCCTGATTTATATATAAATCATTTTTTATTATTTTATACTTTTATTGGTGATAAATTTATTTATTCATCTCCTTTAAATGATTTATATAAAGATAGAAAACAAGAAAAAAGAATTAAATCTTTATGTACTAAATTATATTATGAACATAAAGAATTTAATATTAATGAATTAATTTCTTCAAAAAGATTTTTTAAAACTTGTGCATTTACTACTGATCTTGAAACAGTTGCTTTTAAACAAACTCAGAATGGTTTATTAATTGGAATCTTTAACTTTATTGTTGATATCCCTTCTTCTATTGATTATCTAAATCAACTTGATAAATGGTTTAACTATGACAATATTACTTATACTCAATATCATTTATCTTAAAATCTTTTCTTTCTTTTTCTTTGTTTTCTTTATTCTTTTTGAATATTTATCAGTGATATTAAATTATTAAAACAATCATATCCTCATAATATAAAACATAAATAGAATCTTTTCATTCTTTTTCAAACAAAAGTCTTATTTAAAAAAATGAGTAATCATAAATAATACTGAATTAGATGGAGGTTATTATATTTATTGAGAAATAATATCTAAAATAAGTAAATGAAATACATCAAAATAAGAACTTTCCAAATAATATATAAATTCCACAAAAAATAGTTAAACAATTAAATAAGATAAAAACAAATAATCAAAATCGAATAAAGAAATGAATAAAACCATTCATTCTAAACTAAATGATTATTTAAAAAAAAAGAATTTATCATTTTAAATCAAAAAATGTTATATTAAATCAATAATCCATATTAATTACTGTATACTACTATTCATATCAAATGAATTACAGTATAAATTAAAAAGTTAAAAATATATTTGATTAGAATTTTGAATAATGAACAAAGAAACAACCATTTATTAGAGTTTTAAATGTTTATAATAAATATACCAATTATTGGTGATCAAATCATTCAAAATTTATTTGTTATAATAAAGATAACACAGAAATAGTAGAAGATGATGAGAATGGTATAATAAAAGAAATGAAGTATTTAGAAATACATTAATTTAACTTAAAACAATATTTTTTGTGTATTTTATTCATCACTGGATACTCTGACAATCAATTAGTTATTAAAATCAAAGAATATTTTCAAATAATGAAAGAAGAAACAGAATCACAAAACTTCACCCTGTCTTAAAAGGATTTCCATCTCTAATAAAATCGAAATAAAATATCAAGCTACTGATTGTTTTGATAAAAAAACATCTAAAATAATTGAGAGTTATGAAAATATATGATTTCAAAGATTACTTAATATTAATAAGAGATATTGAATATAAATACAATATATAACAAATATTTGTGATTAGATCATTATTAAATACTGAAATTTGCTCATATTAAACAATAATTATCTCATTAATATAAGACATCATTAGATGTTATGATAAGAAAGACTCTGAATTTCAATATGAAATTCATTCTCTCTTTATTTTATTATTATAGTTTATTTCAATGAGAATGGTAGTTATAAGAATCAATGAAATACTCTATTAATGAAATAAATGGAGAATAATCACAAATACAATTATATTCATATTTATTTATTGATAATAAAATAGATCATCTTGTTAATAAAATACAGAATTAATTAAAATCATCAAGTCAATATTAAATTAATACCTAATAAAATAAACATTGTCATTTGATCAAAATTACTATAGCTGTTATTATATAGGATTCTTTGATCGTTATTGTTAAACAATCAACATTTGATTGTTGTCAACTATTAAAAATGATTGTATAAACATATTCAACACTGATGACAACATCAAAACTAATTAATTATTATATAAACGTAAAAAATTGAATTGATATAACAATGAAATATAAAGAAGTATCAAGAACAATTTTAAATATTAAGGATACTTTTCTATATTTTATAGATATATTCATGTCCAATTATTTAGTATTTTGAATGGTAATAAAATGAAGTATTCAATTGGTTATTAAATGAAAATGAATAAACAATTCAGTACAATAAATAAAAAGAAATATATGAATAATAACTCTTATTAATTCACAGCAAATACCCAAAGAAAGATTTATTTATTGTCACCAATGATATGATGCAAAACTAATTCTTTAATAAAATTTGTGAAATTCTTTTAAATGTTTCTGATAAATTATGTTCTAACATTGTACTTTAATTAAAGAAGAACCGAGAATGGGTCTCACCTAATCTAAGTAAAATCTTCTTTTTCATCTGGACCAATTGTTCCTGTTTCTTTTAGGAACTGTTTATTTCCTTTCAAATAGACCAAGAATTCCCAACTCATATCTTTCACTTTATGATTAATTCTTAAGTTAACAAGAGATGATAGCAAGTGAATAGAACAAGTGTAGTAGCAGATACATCAGGTCTTGTAAGTATATAACGGTCTTATAAATCAGGACCATAACCTTCAACAAAAACATTTGCATCAGTAAGAAGATAAAGTTCATTTAATACTACAATCTTCACACAGACATATGGAGTTTTTTTAAACATTGTTTGAAACAAATAGTTCCTATTCTAACGTACATTTTAGATTTACTGAATAAAAGATATTATAAGCTCCACATCCCGTCCTTATTTCTTCAAAAAAAGTTATACGTTTCAAATTCAGATATGATAAATCTTAAATAGAATTTAATACTTTTTAGTGCTAACACTTTTATAATCTCTACATCAGCCACTTCAATAGAATTAAAACATTCTACAAATTTTAAACTCGGATAATTGTCAGTTAAAAACCATATTTATCAATCAGATAATTCTGACACAAAGTTTTTTTATAAACCTATGTTTCTTTTATCACATTTTATTAATACTTCTATCAAATAACGATGAAGAGTTAGTTGCATTTGCATTAAAGAATCCTCGTTTATTTGCTAAGTTCTACTTTCTTATTCGTTTCTTCTAATATTCTTGGTAATTTTAATGCAGTATAATAACCATTCTCAATGTTTCAAGAATAGTAAGTACTTTTATCAGTTTCTTTGCCAAGTCTGTGTTTTCTATAGTTTTCTCTATAAGTTTATATTAATCCATCTAATTTACTTTATTACTGACACTCATATTATTATTTCTTCTGGATTTCAAAACAATAAAGTATTTATAAAGTAAAGTGGTTCTAATTTAGTACGTGGTATTTGTTTATCAATTTTAGTTCTCTGAAATTAAAATCCGTGAAAGTATAATTTATTGTTTTGTCACCAAAATTATTCTTTAAATCCTAAAATTATTTTTGAAATCCTCATCATACAACTTTTCATCTCTCTTATTCAATTTTTTAATTTAACTCTTCTGTGTTTCTAAAATTTAATGTTTATTGTTTATTGAACTTTTCTTTAATGATTTTTGAGTCTTATTAAATAGTTATTGTAGAATCCTTTATTACTTTCTATTTGTATTTGTGGTATTTTTATAAATTTTAGCATTGAAAAATAGAATGTTAAATAGAATTTCTTTATTCAAAGATGTATTATTTCATTCTTGTTTATTTTTATTTCTTTATTTAATGTAATTCAAATTCCAAAAATAATATTTAATTTTAGATACTACATTTTATTTGTTAGTGTTTTAGGACTAATTGATATTGTCTATAATCCCTTTTTCTATAGACCTCTTATGACTCTGATTTCTTAGGAATTAATTTTGAGTACTCTTATATTATTACAATAAATTTATAAAAAGAAATATTTTTATGATAGCAGTTGTTCTTGGTTTTTGTATGTTGTGATAATACTTAACTGATTAAAATGATGTTTAAACAAATGTGATGGATAAATTTATTTTATTATTTTACTATTGCACTTATTTCAAAATCGATAACATTCTGCGTTATGGTTAAAAGGATAATTACATGATAAATTGAATAGTTAACACTAACACATATAAGATTAAAACATCTTCAAACCTATTACAAAATATCAATTCTTCTTATTTAATACATCTCCTTTTTTCTTTAGTCAGGACATTAAACAGGTTTGTTGATCTTTAAGTTTTTTGTGTTTTATTCGTTTTTAGATAATTTTAGTTTTCAAGATGGATATATTTTTTTATACTTTTTTTATAAGTTCAGAGTTTTATTAAAATTGATATTATTTCTGTTTCCTCTATTATCTGTTCTTTATTCTTTTTGGTTCAAGTGTATTTTTAATAGAGTAATTTATGATATTATTACTTATCTTGTATTTAATATTTTTGTCTCATTCATATGTATATCATCTGATTTTTTAATGTGTTTCTAATTTTCTTTTGAATTATAATCATCAATTTTATTAAATAACTTGATCATAACCAACCTAATTCAACAAATTAATAAGCCTCACTTCACTCAGTTATTACTGAAGTTATAATTTTATATTTCTATAAAATTGATCTTATTGTGTAAATGTAATTTCCCCCAGCAACAACTCCTGTTTTCATGTCTTGTTGTAAGAAATATGTTTTAATAAAAAAATATAATGTTAGAAGAAACAATAACATAATTTATGTTAATAGATTATCAAACTGAATTTAGATAATAAACTCTTTGATTAACAACTTTTTTCAAGAAAAATAACACAAAAGTAAGACAACTGAGTAGATGGTATGTTATATATTTCTTTCAATCTATCATCACTATTTTTAAATTTGCGTATAATAATAATTCTTTAGATGAAAAGATTTAATTTATAAATAAATCGGAAAACAAACTTCTTCAATCAAGTTAGTGCTCAAAAAGAGAAAGAAAATAGGTTAAATAAAATAACCTTAGATACTTTATTAATATAACAAAGCTTATTATCAGAAATAATAAAATTAATAATTTTACAGGTTATTACTAAATTCATTATATCTTTCATTGGTTTATAGTTAAAAAATTATTAGAAGAAATATAAAAAGTAAATGATATTGTATTGTAAAAGATAATTACTATTAAGTAAATTATAATAAAATATAGAAAAAGGTAGGATAGTTAGTTATAACAATAATATGATAAAGACAAGTTTATAAGAAACATATTTTTGATTGTTGTGAATATTTTAAATTTTTTGTTTTCATTATTTTTATTATTTTTTTAATAAAGAAGAAAAAAAGAAACTAACAACCAAAAATAAAAAAGAATAAAAACATTATTTTGAAGTAACAATCAAGACAATCCCAATGTTATCTTTAAAATGAGCTTAAAAGAAAATTCATTTAGACAAAAATTCATAGAGACTTTTGTTATAATTCAAAGCCGATTGTTGTATTCTTAAGAATCGTTGTTTCGAACAATCATTTTTAAAATGATTAAAAAAGTTTTGGAGAAAATCTTTGTAACTAGAATAAAAAAGTTCATCTCGAGACAACATATCTAATTCTTTATTTTGTAAAGCCTCTGACATTTCCATATAATCTTCTCCAAGAGTATACATATCTATGTCTTCATCACTAAACCAAGAATCTTCATCACCACTCATTTCGTTCATACCATTAGCTCTACTTTGTTCCATAGTATTTTTTTCATTTATATAAATTTGTTCCATTCCAATAAGATCAAGATATAGACTTAATAATGATAAAATAGTTAAAGGTACTCCTTTTTCATCTCTTAGATTATCAACTTCTTCAAAATCAATTAATTGTGCTTCATACATTCCATGAATTTTTCCTTGATATGTTCCTTTTTCTTTTACCATTTCATGCATTTTAACTGCATTTTTAAAGAGTTCAGGTAAGTATTGAGTGAGTTTTGTCTTAATCTCTTTGCAGGATATGAAAGCTCTTGCTAAAACAATTTCTAAATCACTATTTCCTTTTCCATTACCCCTAGCAGCAATTTGAACTATTTCTTGACCAATTTTATTACCATGAAACATTCCAAGGAGCATTAATGCTTCACATGCTTTCTTTAACAGGTATTCTTCTTCCATTAATCCAATTTTAACAGCTTCATCAAGGTTTTGTAACATGAGTGATACAATATTTTGTCCGTCATCAGTTTCCATGATATTAACATACTTTCTTAATGTTTCTATCATAATATCAATAGATAATTCTAAACACTGAGAAGTTGCTTTTCCTGCACTTAAAGATAATAATAATAATTTCTTTAATTCATCACCAAGTGCCATTGAATACTTAACTATAACTTTTGATACCATTAATATTGTTTGTGTTGGATAATCAGAACTTTGTCTTGAACAAAAGGCATAAATAGTTGGTAAAGGAGAGAATAAAAATTCAACAACCTTTAAGAAAATAGCTCTGTTATTAAATAAAGTAGTGAAAATTTGAATCATTGAATTTCTAACTTTAGGAGAAAGTGGATTATGTAAAAAACAACGTAATAATGAAGCTACTAATGGTTGAAATAATGTACCTGCTGGGGGTAAATATCTACAATAAGCTGATAAAGCATCTAAAACAAATGGTAATTCATCTGAACTAACTGAAAGTGAATTTAATAATGCAGAAAAGAAAGAAGTATAAAAAGGGGATATTGTAAAGTCTTGAATTGAAAGGCAATGAGTTAGTAATCTTAAGAAATAAGGTAATACTATAGGACAATAGATAAATTTATTAAATGCATTAGATAAAGCAGTTAAGAAAAAAGCTAAATCGGAATATGTTGCTGATGGTAATACAGATGATATACAAGTTAATGCATAACAAATATCATGATCAACAAAGTCTTCATTATTCATCATACCAATTAATTGAAAATCATTTTTAACAACATTAATAATAATACTATTAACTTCTTTTTGCATTGGGATATGTGCTTTTGTTAAATAATTAGCACAAATACTTAATATTAATAGTCCTGTTCCTCTAATATTTACAAAGTTACGTTTATGTAATATTAATAATTGTTCTCCTTGTTCTAATAATTGAAAACTACTCATAAATAATACATTTACAGGTACTATTTGGTGAAGTATAATATTATGAAAGAAAATAATTCCTGCTTCTGGTAATGTTGTAGATGATGTTTGAAGTACATTTTGTGCAGAATTATGAGATAATGTATCAAAAGGAAATGACCAATCTTGGACTTGACTACACATAATTCGTACAACAAATGTAACTATGTCATTAACTTTTTCTATATTATATTTATGATACCAGTCTAATGCTGCAAAAGCAGAAAGTACATCTACTAAGACAATTAACACTCCATCTTTAATATCAAAAGAAAGGTCATTAACTATTTCTAATGATTGCCATTGATTATTTTGTTGTTGTTGAATAATCTTTTGAATAACCATTAAAATACATGGTAATAACTTAGTAAAATATTTACTAATTAATTCAGGTGCATCTGAACATAAAAGTCTAATTAATGATAATGCATGATACCATGCTGGAATTGATTCTGAATTTAATATTGATTCTAAGGCATCAGGTAAATGTTGAAAAACCTCATTATTTAAATATTCAGGACAATCCATACCAATGAATGAAATAATACTTCCAATAATTTTCATTGCAGAAGGATTTGTCTGTGTTTGTATTAATTGGATGAGATCAGCACATCCACCATTCTTAGAACAAAGAGAATTTAATATTGATCTATCAATAAATGAATAACACAATAAAGCGTCTAAGACAGGTAATGACGCTGGTAATCTTCTAATCGATTCATTAATTAAAGCAAGTCTACTAACTTTATCATTTCTAGTAAGTGCTTCTAAGAAGAATGAAAGCATTGTTCCAATCCTTTGAGGACAAGTATGGATTTGAGGTAACACTTGATTAACACAAGCTGCAATATCTTGTTGTGGTAATTGGTTTGTAACTAAATTATTCTTACAAACAATAGCAGCTAATAATCTTTGATTTGGATCTACTGAATTACTTAATGAAATATTCAATAATACAGGAATTGATTGTGGTAATGAATTTAATAATACATGTTCAGCACTTTGTCGTGTTTGAGAATCACAAGGAGAGGTCAGTGTTTGGAGAGTATTAATAATGGTGTTTTCTTCTTGCATTGAGAGAATATTTAATAGTTTTCTTTTTTTTATTCTTTTAGTTTATTTTATTATAATTAATAGTTATATTACTATAAGATATATAAATTTTTCATTAGAATTTTAAATTAATACAATTTTTTGATAGAATGATAATATTTTGTTATATATAACACATAAAGAAGAAATGAATAAAGAAATTGAATTGAGAAACAAGAACTTAAAAATATAGTGAGTGATATTGCTCGTGAAACTAATGAATTCAATGAAGAAATATATTCAAATTGACAATAGTGTTAACTTCCTTGGATTACACACTGTTAATATAAATGTTGATCCAAATGAAACTGATGAAATAGAATTAAAAAATAGTTGTATAGCAATTTTGTTACATTCTGATTATTCTATGCAATGTTCAGTGTATAGTTATATTTTAATACCAAATGAATTTACATTACAAAACTTAATTACTCCATTTTTGAATGGTGGAGGATGTATGCATTGTAGTGGACAAATAAATCAACACACCACATCTATAATTTTTAATAATATTAAACTTACAATAACTACTGCAATAACTTCAAAACCAGAAGAATCATTAAAACTAATAAGAATGAGATGTTTAAAATGTCAAAAAAGTTCTGAAGTATGGACATTAAGAGAGTCAGTATATTCTATTTCATTAAATGAACTTTTACATTCTTTATCAACAACACATTCATTAGAATATCCTAAATTTCCAACATTTCCATGCAAAGATTATTTATATCATATTCTTGAATTTACAGGAAATGGAATTGCACTTCATTTCTCTTTATCTTTAATTCAACCATTTTCTATTCAATCTCAATTAATTCCAGACCAAATTTCACAAAAACAACATATTTTATCTGAAATAATTGAAATGAATTGTCATATGACAAAAGAATTAATGATTTTAAGAAAACAAATTCCTAAAGTTCAAAAGTCATTCGAAGCAAGAAAACAATTATATTCTAAATTAAATCAAATGGAAAATATTTATTTAGGTCAATCATTATTACAATTTACACCATCTGATTTAGTTAAGTTTCAATTAAATTTTTATGAAGAAACTATTGAATTCTCCAAACAATTTAATAACCAATTAGATTCTTCTAAGAATAAAGAATCTTTACTAACTAAAATAAATGAAGATATATCTAAATCTTCTTTACCTCAACTTACTGATCCTTCTACTCAAAGAAAAACTACAAAAGCTCCTAGACTTTCTCTTATTAATAATCAATCACTTGAAGATAATCAATTAATTTCTATTACATCTATTCCTTTAGAAGATGAAAAATTAGTATTAAAATTAATATGGAATGAACAATTAATTGTAGAACATAATGAAACATATTTCCAATTAAATCTATCAACATTACCAACTCTTTTTGCATTTGCTTTATCTACACAATCATATAAAAATTATCTTACTTCTAATAATCTTAGTTATTCTTATGATGAATTAAATGAATCAACAGTTAAACGTGTATTATCATCAACAGTTAAACCACATTTTGATTTTAAATATACTACAATAGTTGATACTATTCCAATAACAATTGAAGTTTCATTATGTTTTGCTTGTCAATTTCATCTTTTAAGATTATTGTATTACAAAAATTTATCAATTCCAATAGAAAATGCATGTCATAATTTTTTTAGAAGTGTGGCTTATATAACTTCAATAACAACACAAGGTGGTAAATCAAAAAGTTTATTCTTTAAAACATTTGATGAACAATTCTTATTTAAAGAATTAAAACCACCAGAATATGAAGCATTTTTAGATGGTGGAGGTGTTGGATATTTTAATTATATGTTAACTGTAGAACGTAAAACTGTTCTAGTAAGAAATCTTGGAGTTTTTTCTTCATTCATTAAAATTGGTAATAATAAAAGTGAAAAGGTTATATTCCTTATAATGGAAAATTTATTTTATGGAAAAGAACCTACAAAAACTTATGACCTTAAAGGTACTCTTAAAAAAAGAACATTAGAAGATGATGAATTAAAAGTTGGTTTAGATGGTAATTTTGTACAGTCATTGTCAAGAAAACCAATTATTGTTAGTAAAGAAGTTAAACAAGAATTAATGTCAATTATTAAAAATGATACACAAATGTTATCATCATCTAATGTAATGGATTATTCTTTAATTGTTGGATGTGATGAAAAAGAAAGATCATTAAGAGTTGGTATTATTGATTTTATACGAACATATACATGGGATAAACAATTAGAAAGTGTTGTTAAAAAAATAGGTGCTTTAGGTCAAAATCCAACAGTAATAGAACCAGAGTTATATCGCAAAAGACTTCTTTTATTTATCAATTCTGTGTTTATGATTATGCCTGATGATTCATTATTAGAATAACATTTTATTTTTTATATTTTTTTTTGTGTTATTTTAGTTTATTTATTTTAAATAATTTATTGTCTTTAAACTAAAAAAAATTAATAAATTGTTAAAATTGAAGGGAAATAAATTATAATTAAGAACATGATCAATCATTTGAAGTAGAAGCTGATTGATTCTCTCTATCATTTAATTTAAAAATTGAATAAATGTGATGAAGAGAAGAATTAGGAAAATCTTTTAATTTTATATTTAACTCAGAAATTGGTTGAATTGGTTTTTGTATTTCTAATACCTCACAAACATCATTAAGACATTCTAAAGGAATATTTTTCATTTTTTGAGTGAGGTAATGCATTTCTGAACGATTTAAAGGTTTTTGTGAATATTTTTTCTTAGATTGAAGAAGATTATTTTCTTCTTTTAAATGATAGTTAAGTTTACGAATACAATGTCTATAATAATTTTCAAAGATTTTATATAACTTTTCAGCATATGAATGAACATAATTTCCAGGAGGATTAAAAGTCATTGCATTAGTAAAAGTTAGTCTAACGTCATTACTAAATTGATCAATAGAATAATACATATTCTTTTTAATTTTTTTTATTACTGTTCCTAAATCCATTGGTGTTTTAATAATTTCAAAATAATTAGGTATATTCCATATCTCTGGATCTACTGGTTCCATAAAAACTTCACTTTCACTTACTTTCATTAATTGTTTCATAACATTCATACATAACTCTTTTTCAAAACTATTTAATGGTTCATTCTTAATTACTGGCTTCTCTTCAACTTCATATCCACTCATTGATCTTGTCATAGGTCTATGACTTAATCCTTCTTCAATTTTACTTTCTTTCTTCTCTCTTTCTTTTTTCTGTCCTTTCTTTTCTTCTTTAGAGACTCCTTTAATTAGCTTTTCACTTCTCTCTTCCATTCTTATCTTTAAGTTACAATTTTCTAGTTTGTTCTTATTGATACCATTTTACTATACTTTTATTATTTCTTTTATTTTCTTCTTAAATCACTAAAAATATTAAAATTATCATTAAAACATGGTTAATAAGTCTATGCTTCCTCTAATATTTATATCCCTTTTATTAACTTTATTTTCTTAAAACTAATTTATATATCTTTTAATAAACAATCATTGTAATTTCATCATTATTCCTTTTCTTCATTTTTTGATTCATAGAACCAATTAACTTCATCACTCTCAATCTACTCTTTCATTATCTCCTTTTCATAAAACTAATAAAACATATTTAAAGTTAATATTTTCTTAATTATTTCATATCCTTTCCTTATTAATAAATTATTGTCTTTTTGTATTTCTTTTAAAACATTAATCCTTAGTACAAAACTAATTCTTAATTTAATCTTAACAACCATTAAAACACCAACCTTTGTTCAAACCTATTAAATATCTTGGCAAATTAATTCTTCTTAAAACTTCAAAGAGAAACCAATATATTCGAAGTAAAAGATATAAATTCATGTTTTGTATTCTTTTACTTGACACTACTTCTGAATAAAACATATTCATAATATAAAGAAAAGAATAACTAACATAATTGTTAAAAGAATTGATAATATTTGAAGAATATGATTTAATTATTATGTCTATTCGTAAACTTTGTTTAGAAGAGAAAGTTAGAGTAATAAAACAAACTACATATAAGTTTCTCATTAGTGTGTGCACAGTGTGGACTATTATAATTATTAAATAAATCTTTAATTAGAACTTTTGGTTTATTAATGAATATTCCTAAAATTTGACTCTATGTTAACTTTGTTTAGTATTCATTTGAACAACTACTCTCTTCTATTCAGTGTTATGGTTAATATAATATCCTTTGTTTTGTAAAATAATTGATAATCTTCAAATATTATTTCTGATATGATTTTTAATTAACCCTCAATTGGATTTGAAAGAACTGAATACCATGAGCATACCCACAACTTGTTTTTTTTAATAGCCAAGACGCCATCTTTTTGGATATAACCTTTAGAATCAATAGTAGGACTTACTTCTAATTTTCCCTTTACAGAAAATATTCCTCTGTTAATAAAATCAAAAGTGATTAAAAATTTTTTTCAATACTAAGGATGAACTTTTAATTTCACAACTTTGCATTAGTCCTTTAAGATAAAACTTTACTTTAAAGGATATGGACATGACTAAATTCAATACTTTAAAATGATAAAATATTCTCTGATTGAAATGGTCCAATAAATCCATATGACTTTTCAAGTGTTATGTCCCTTCATTTGAGAAATAGCAATTGCAAATTGAAAAACTTTAGTAATAACACTTTTTCTTCTTAACAACTGCTCCTTCAAATGAAATTATTTTTTCATGAGAAAAAATAGAACAATTAGGTTTAATTTTGATAAATGTACTAATTCATATATAGAAACTTATCAATGATTATCCAATTTGACTCTCTCCGACTAATTTCATTGTTTTCTGTTTGTGTAATAACATAATCTTTAGAGTTAACTCTTTATTATTTTTAAGAGAAGACTTGTAAAAAATAAAACTTGAGTTGAGAGAAAACACATTCCATAATGGTGAATTTCTGGATGGTGTAATGTGTTACTTTTATAAATACAATGATTCAAACAAAATTATAACAAAACTTGATCTTATGAACTCTAATGAACTATTAACAAAAGAGCCTTAAATCAAGTTTTATCTGATCCAAAATAAATCACTCTATAAAATGAAAGATATCCCTCTATAGTATGAACAAATTTTGAAATATAAAATTTTTCAAACTGAATATTTGAATACTACAAACAATCTTTTACCTCTTATTAGATAACTAAATACTAATCTTCATGAGCAGTTTCTAATCATATGTTCTTTTATTATGATGCGATGTTTTGGACAACCTAATATGTTCTATTTTTCAAAATTAAATAAACATATCAATAGTTGGTATTTGACTTAAACATACTTATTTTCAATTAAATGTAATTCTTTGTATTGGTAGAGTATTACAGGAAGAAGAGGTTTTGTTCTGATTCCAACAATACCAATAACATTATTACTAAATGCTTTTGAAGAAACCATAAAAAGAATGTCTTCATTTGACTTATGGTGAAGTCCATAAATAATTTCATTTACTCGAAAGTTATTTGAGAAATTAGTTCGTTCGTATACTAAAATTTCTGCTCATTAAATGAACATTAAACACATAGGTTTTTTTCCTATTCACCAACAAGACTCTGCTTGAATCTCTAATTATGAGTGACGTTATCCAGCTTTTTCTTTTTGATTATTTATCATTCAAGAACTTTCAATATTAACAATGATATTATAACCGTTATTTTCTTGGATGGCAATCTCAATAGCTGATTTAATAAGTAATCTTCTTTTTATACTTCTTTCTATTGATTTGATTTTTGTAATTCTATTATTAATAATAGCTGCAAAAGTATAATTACTACAATTGATAAGTTCTATCATAGTTGTATTTCTGAAATATTCTTTCAATATTTGAAAATGGTTTATCTTTATTCAACCTATCCAACCTTTTTGTTTTTTTCCTTTTAATCGTTCTAAAGAAAGATATTCCATCATAAGTTTGATACTTAAATTTTCGTATTGGATAACTCTAATACTCTCAGTAATATTCATTCCATTTAAATAGTTGTAGAAAATGGTGAAAGAATTATAAATGGAATTGAAATTTGTGAGTTAATAAGTAGTGTTTGATTTCAATGTACAATTTGTCTGAGAAAAAAAATGGTAGTATTTAAATCATAAGAACTATAAAGATAATTCTCTTTTATGAATGATATATTCTCTTTAATATATATAGAATTTGAATAAACAATTAAAATACATCACTAAAGAAGAAACATATATTAATTATTACTAATTCTTAAATTTGAATTAAGTCTAACCAATCAATTATCCTTCATTGGATGTTCGTGACACAAGAACTTTCAAAGAAGGTTCTGTAAGAAGAAGTGTTTGAGTATCATCAAGAATTAATTTATGTTTAGTAATGAATTGAGACAAAGAACTTAAAGAATCAAAACACAAATCATCTTTTAACTTTTTCAGTGAAATAGATGGACGATAACTTAAACATATCATTTGAATTGTTTTAAATTGCATTCGTTCTATAATAGAGTAAATAACTTTCTTTAATAATTTAGGTGCTCTTTTATAAATAATGAAAAATGTATATGGGTCATCATTAAAATAAGCAATAGAAATATTAATTGCAATTTGAATACCAATATTTGCTTTAACAGTTTCTGGAAGAGTATCAACAATTGCTTTAAATTGAAAAAGTGAATTAACGTATGCAGTGTATAATATTTGAAATGAAGTAAACATTAATACTGATTCATCTTCAGCAGGGTATTGCAACTCTTTAAATAAGTGCATCAACACACTAATACATTGATTAAATTCACTAACATCTTTGTGTTGAATAGAATATTTGGCATGTACCTTATATACTAACACAGTAAAATCATTATTAATTCGTTGGATAGTAATGTCTTGACGAATGCCTTTTAATTGATCACACAAATAAGCATAATCTTTATTCTTTTTGTATTTCATTAACACAAAATTTAATGCTGTTTTTAGGGTTTCTTCATTCCTAATTTCATTTAACTTTGGCTCTCCTTTTAATCTATAATAACTCTTTTCTAATGACTTTGAGCACCCAACAATAGCAATTTCTTGGTTTATTTTATTAGGTTTTTGTGTTTCTTTATGAATCAGTTTAATGTGCTTTTCACTCTTTTTTAACTTTTTTGGGAATTTCTTTTTTAATGATAATTTCTTTGGTTTCATTTGATTGAAATCAGCATCAGTGAATACCACCTTTTTTTTCTCTGCAACAAGTTTATTTTTCATCCTTTTCTCAGCCTCTTTGATGGCTTGAAGACTCATAATAAAAGAAGACAAACAGTTCAATAAAAAAGAAAAAAAAAAAAAAAAGAAATAGTAAATTCAATAGTAAAATTTTTTATAATAAATGATTTCTTAATGTAATGTATTGATATTGAATTAGTTTTGTTCTCTATGTCTCCCATCATCCGGTTGAAAATCAGGAACTCTTCTTGGACTTGGGTATAAGGAAAGAGAAGGATTTTGGAAATAGTTATTTGAGTTTGTATTTAATTGTGTATTATTTTGAATACTTGAATAATTTGAATAAAGTAAGTTAAACATCTGGTCTAACTGATCAATTCTCCTTGTTAAACTTGTCCATTTCATTTTAGATTCTGACAATTCTCCTTTTATTTCTTCAACTTGATTTTGTAATTTATTAATATCAATACGCAATGAAGCAACATTTAATAATTCATCACTGTCACGTTTAGGTAGTTCTGTAGATAGTACATTTGAAGGGAAAAATGGTTGAAGTGTTTGTCCCAAAACATTCTTTTTATTTTTCTTTCTTTTAATTTTTTCAAGGAGTTCAGGATGGGTTCTTTGAAAGAACTCATGTTTAAAACATAAACCTTCTTTACAATCTAATTTATGAAATCCATAAATATTGAGTTGTCTAACAAACGAAGCAATATTTGAATGTTTAAAGTGTTTTGGTAATATTTCTTGTGCAAATTGAACAGGGTTATTAACACAAATTGCTGTTCCTTTTAGTGGTTCACTCCAACAAATAAGTGAGTTAGATTGAGGAGAATTTACTAATAAATATAATTTAGCAATGAATGGGGCACAATTATGAAGAAATTCTAATGTTCCTGGTGCTTCTCCATATCCAACTGTGTTGGCATTAGTGTTTTGGTTTTGTGTTTGAGTTGATTCTGGACTTTGTGGGTTAAAACTTTCTAATAGAGTTCTATTTTGATTTGTTGAAGGAAGTGGGATTTCCATTGCCATTATAAAGAATGTTCTCGATGTCTTTAGGATCTTATAGTTCGTTCTATTCTTCTTAGAATAAACTAAAGAATGTTATTGTTATGGTTATTATTTTTAATGTCCTTTTTTCTTTTTATTTTCTTTCTTCATTTCAATAACTCTCAAATTGAATATTATCAAAGAAAAATACTTATTTCATTTGTCCTAATAATCCAATTAATGAAAGGGTGTCTCATTATTGTTTTGGATTATAAAAGTTCTTGGATTATCAATCAAAAAAGTGACATATTAACTTAAAAAATTTTTCAAAAGTACTACATTAGGAATTCTATCGAAGGAAGAGGAGTTGAGCTATTTTGTATATTATGCATATTTATATTCATAAAAGTAAATTAAAGAAAGGAATGAGTTAGTATACGCAAAGGATTTAATGAGACCTGACAATCAGATAAATAACAAAGAAAAGAGTGGTAAAATCAAGTTGTCATTCTCACAAGTTAATTCTATTAGTCCTGAAGTGATTGAAATTAAGACTAGTTGATTAAATGATAAATATAATGGGATATATGTGTTGATAATCATTCCAAAGAAAATTGATGTAATTATGAAGGAAAATGTTCCTATTAATGTTTTATTTCCACAACGAGTTATTGGAAAATATTTACCACAATAACTTCCAACAATTGCTGCAAATGCATCACCTATGTCAACAGTAATTATAGTAGAAATAATTGCACAATGAAAATGACTTCTAAATAATAATAGTGGTAAAGTGTTTACATATAATAAAAGAAAAGCAGGAAATCCTGATGAAAGGTTTGGGTCTTGGTGTGAATCTCTGTATCGTTGGAAAAGTTGAGAAAGAGTACCATTTGGTGCGAATTGAATTCTAAGAAAGTCAAGAATAACAAATAAAATCACAAGATTGTTACTAAGAACTGATAAGAATAAAGCATTTGAACGAATCCCAAGTGTATAGATTAAAGCAGCAATAAAATGAAATGATTTACGTTGGACAGAAACATACATTGGTTGGTGTGGAAGAAATGCAATTACTACCATTAATACAAGTAAAAAAATCCACATCATTATTATTGGTGGATAATTTTTTATAAATGATTGAATTGTTGATGGTGCTAAAATAAATTGAGGTTGTTGAACAAAAATTAAAAGAAGAATTAATGAAATATGTGTTCCAAATTCACAATATGTAAATGGAACTCTAAATCTCATAAACTGAATGTTACATAAAATTGCTATAGATAAAAGAAATACAAGTAATAAACATATTATATGAATGT